TTGAACTTCGAAAAAAAAATCTCTGATGATTGAATATGCAGAGTCACCGCTTACTGTGACAGTAAGCCATACAGACCTGGAAGGACCTGATCCAATCTGTGCTTATTTAGCTGATCTCAGCAAGGGTGCTAAAGTGTCTTTGGGATAGAAATCTGCTGGTTCCTGTTGAGGACCAATATTCCTGCTGGAAGTACACCTGTATAGCTGTTGCTTACTTCCATATCCACCACCCACCTCCTCCGACTGGCTGGCTCCAGCTTCCTGCTTTGTCCCATCTACCATAAGCGGATGTGCTTCCAGCCAATTGACCTAGAAACTTAGGAACGCTCTCCCTCAATTCCTCAGCCTTGCTCCCTCCTTCCCCAGATCATGACTGAAGACCTTCCTTACACTCATCTCCTTCTCCCACCTTGGCATCAGGCTTTACCACTGTTAAGTGCTCCAAGACCCTACTTGACATGAAGGGCGCTATATAAATGCAATTTGTTGTTGGATGTGAGAATAGGATCTGGCTTGGCTCTGATAACCCCCGTGCAGTCACATAGCTTGTCAGCACTCACTGCTTTGACTCACCAAATGGCCACTTGTACAAGGTGCTGGAAGTCGACAAGCATTTGTGGAACCATGCAACAGTATGAATCAATGCATTCGGGAAATGAAGGGTAAAAATGGTGAAGGTGTAAAGGGCAACTAAATGGGACTGAAATGATTGCTCTTAAAAGAGATAGCACAGACACAATGGTACCATTGGCTTTCTTCAGTGCTGTAAATCTCCATGATTCTAGGCATATTGATGTTACTCCAGGCGAAGAGGTTTTACATTGCTCATTTCACTCCATAGTTGAACAGCTAATTGTATCCCTCAGGAACTAGAGTGAGAACAAGGCATTTGCTCCATTGTCACAAGAGTACAGCAGCATTTACAGTCTAAGCAGCCACCAAACGTATTTTGCAAGCAAGAAATGTATAGATCCATTTCAGATCTATATGTCAAAGCAACAGAAAAGTCTGGACTTTACGTCTGACTCAGTTTCTGCCAACATAGGAAAGTGGAGAATTTATTTTGAAAATATCACAGGAGATACTATCTGTGGACCGAGTTAATTCTTAGAATTGCAGTAGCTTTTCTGCACCCACCCAAGCTTCGCACTGCAGGATAAACGGACATCATTGCTCCATATCCACATCATTCATTTGCTTGTGTCTGTGTACGGTAGTGTGCAAGTCAGCAGTAGGATTTTTTTTGCTTACTATTTTGTACACAAAAAACAGAATGGAAAATATGTCTCCAAAGTCCTTGAAGCTACAATTTAAAGTAATTATGTATGTTAATAAAAAATTTTTGCTATGCTGGTCCTCATTAAATGAAAATAGCATCAGTTTTCTGCATTTAAAACAGACCATTGCAAAGTTAACTGGATCCTTAGGCAAATGAACAATGAGTTACCTCATCATATATAGAGCCTTCCAACTGGGCTTTCTTATTAGTTATGGGAAGCCTGGGTAAAGGGCCAATGCCACAGGATTGGAAAGAATAGGAGCCAAGATGATATAGATAAATCAAGGGTAATGGTTAGATGAAGCCAAGGCTTGAATTTAAAACGTCTGTAGTTTGTAAAAGCAAGGGAAGACAGAGCGGTAAAAGGTTCCACAGTTTGGCAGACCTAGGACAAAATGCATTGGAATAGGAGATGCTGCAATGAGTTTGGACGTCAGCACTGTGAGGAGCAAAATGTAGATTAGTATATTTGGAGTTTGAAAAGAACCATAGACTTCAGTATCAATAAAATGCTGAAGAAAATAATTATTAAATAACAAGATGTGCTTATTTGAATGGGAAAGTGTACTTCTGCTTCAATGTGACCTGTGGGTTTTGAAATACTGTATTTTCATTTTACAGAGGTCCTCCGCAGAGCATCCTCAGTTTGATCAATCACATGAAAGGCACAGGTGCCTCAGCTGGAGGGATCACTTTGTGCCTGCTTCCTATTACTGATGTTTCACTATAAACCATTTTGCTTTGTTTTCTTCACTCTTCCTACTGAGTTTTCATACAGATGAAAAGAACTCACCAGCACACCGGTCGGTATTAAACTATCTTAAACCTTTATGCTATTATTGAAGTTCTTTAAACAGTAGGAGGCATAAATCAATCAGTTTCTGAAATCTTGTTAAGGAAACTTGTAACATTTCCTTATCGTAATCTATCCTATGATCCCTTCTGAATGTCTGCATGTGTAGACATGGACTGTGTTGCCTGCCTTGCATGGTTAAACAACCTGCCCACCCAAAATCACCTGCAGGAGAGCAGGAATGGAAAGATCGCTACTTAATAATAATAATCCTTGCATTTGATATAGCGCTTTTCATGTCGGGAGGACGTCCCAAACATTTAAAAAAAAAAGATTTCACAAATTGTTGCTAAAAGTTGTGAAGGTGCAGTCTGCATGTGGGACATGGGGTCACAGTGAGTAAGGTTTAAGCCCAAAGCAGGAGGATTGTGTGGATTTCTAAAAGATATCCTGTACTGGCTGTCTCTGTTTACTGCCAATGTTGCTCTGCAAAGCTTGCCCCAAATGCCCCTCAGTATTTACTTGTAGGCCAGATTCAATTCAAAAGGAGGGGGTAGAGAGCACTTGGCTCTGTGATTCCCATTGCCTGGCACCTCTAAGTTTTGAGCATTGAAATGCGAGTTGAATTCTATCCCAGCACATGCCCCTGAATGGAATAGCAAGATCCCTGCAGAAAGCCTCGACTCACCACAGCAAGTCTTGGCAACAGCAGCAGCAGCAGCAGCAGCTCTGAAAAGTTTGGAAAGTTATATCTATTCTCCCCCTCCTTGGCATGTGCAGAGGTGGATTTGGGAATCCTGAAAACGTAGCATTTGAATCCGAAACAACCTTAAAAGGCATGACATCTCCCTCCTTTTGCAGGGCAGCATCCAGTGGGTCAATGGGGTGAAGGGAAGAACTGCCAGTGATCACAAAGGATGTGCTGTCACACAAGAGGCATTGAAGGGGCTGGAGACAGAGCTGAGCAACACAAATCGTCTCAGCAACCTGACCAGTTGCCTTGTCTCTGAAAGATAACTGGCCCCAGGACCTGTTTGCGGCATTTCTCTTTGCATGTATTTGTATAAACATTTATATTACAGCAGGACCTCCTTTCCCATGTCAAAGCGATCTGAAACAAGGGAATTGATCCGAATCCCACCAATCGTGAATGCTGACCAATACTCCAATCCAGAACTTTATTTAAGCATTAGCCTGGAATACCTCCCTCCCTGTAGGAGGAAAGGCATTTTTCTGCGCGTGGATAAACACTTGGGAGGTATCTTAACACATTTTAAGTTTGCAGCAACGTGATAAGCCAGATGTCATGTTGTTGCAAACAACAATCTGCAAAGGCACTAAAACTCTTCCTGTGAGTTTTTCCCTTTGCCCCTTACAATAACAAACTCAGAGAGAGATAAGCTGAGCCGCTTGTTGTGTGTGTGTGTGTGTGTGTGTGTGTGTGTGTGCTGTGCTGTGGTGTGTGAGCCTGGCTGTCTGGAGGCTGGGAGCCAGGGGAAGAGATCTTGGCTTCACTCACAGCTTTCATTCATTCACTCACTGTCTGACCTCTGCAGGATACGGAGTGAATCACACACACACAGACCAGACCGCACGGGGACTGGAGTGAGCCCCAAACGGGAGACAATTAGGTGCGACCCAAACAAAAACATATATATATATATACATATATGTAACACAGTTCAAACGCAGTGGTTTTACACCGCACGAGAAAAAACACATCTGCTTCCAGCAACGTAAATCCAATTGGAAGAATCAGTTCCAACCCTCCACAATTCACCTCCATCCCCCCCCCTCGCATTGAATTTCGCAGCACCAGTCAGTTAAGTTTCCGAATGATGTTTGGAGCCGACTTATCAAACAATCCACGAGTTGGATTCTCCACTGAAATAGTTATCTCGGATCAAAGAAACTCGAGCCGCATTGCAACCAACTTTCCAGACAGACTTGAGCCACGTTGGGGTTTGCATTCACTGCTCGTGTCCACATCAAACAAACAAAAAAGCAACGCCTCACAATAGCAAGTCACGATCAGCACCAACGACTTCGGAGTTTCTACAGATCTCCAGGAGCTGAATCCAAACTTGCAAAAAGTTTGGAATAGGATCACCGTCACTAAGCTGCAGGGGTGGACGGATTTGGGGCTGGGGGGTGGGCTGGTGGGCTGGGGTGGGGGGGGTTGTACTGATGGCAATAGCACTGCCAGTTTTCACTGGAGGTTATGGTTATGGTTTGCACACAAACTTCTCGTTTTCATTTCAAATGAGAATGTGATCCATTCTCCAAACAGGATCTGTAATGTGTTTGTGTGTGTTTGTGTGTGGTGGAGGTTGGGTGTAAGTCATGCAACTCTGGAGAAAACCTTAGCCAGAAATCTGGAAACTCACATCACTGCCTTAAGTTAAAGGTATGAATTGTAATGGGAGTCAGGAATGAGTTCAGGTAATTGACCCCCCCCCACACACACACACCTTACTACCTTGCAAGCTCTGTGCATCGGTGCAATTGCCACCGTTTCCATCCTTCCAAACCAACTCTGCTAACAAACTGTTCTTTGTCTGCTCAGGAGAATCCCTTTCAGTTCCCACCAACCTACAGTACGAGTTTCCAGGGCAACACCGCGTGTCTATTTGCCACACAAGTGATCAAAGAAGCCAGACGACACCCCCCCCACCCCCCAAAAAAAAAACTTGCCAGACTTCCTACTGGGTAATGGCTGGTCACTAATTAACTGACATCGCCTGAGACCCAGTGACTCCCATTCATTCACTTGCTGCACTCACTCACTCACTCACTCACCATCCAGAGAGTCCTTTCCAATCGCCAAAGGGGAAGGGACAGAAAATATATATATATTTTTTTTAAAAAAGTGCAAAACACTTGGAAGAAAGAGACAGAAAGTTGTGGCACCAGTGCAGTCGTTCTTACCTGCTTCATCTTTAGAATTCCATCATCCACAAAGCATGAAAAAGTCTGCATTCAATGTGCAAAACTTAGCCACAAGGGGCCACAGCCATTCACACACAGCCTGAATGGCACTCCACCACCACCACCACCACCACCACTGGAAGTCTCTCCAGTTCTCACACTCGGTGGTTCAACTCTCCACTGGGGAACCTCTCCATAACTGATTGCTACGACCTTTCCTACTGGTCTATCAGAAGAAGTCAAGGAAGAGGGACATCACTGTCCGCTTCCCTTCTTTGAAATCCAAAGGCTCTGATCAACTGCAGCGAGCGATGTCTGCTGTGGCAGCAGCCTCGCCAATCAGCAGCGAGGGGAGGAGGTTAACATGTATGATGCTGTCAACATGGGGATCAGGGAAAAGGCTTTCATAGGTATTTCAGGATAAAGCACAGCTGAGATCAAAGGCTCAGACGAGCTGAAGAGGGAGTGTAGATGCTAACCCGCAGTTCCCTTTTTCTCTTTTCTTGAGCTGGGAAGTAGTTGTTTTTTTTAAAAAAATGACATGACCCCCCCACCCCACCACCCTGAATCCTAAAGGGTCAAAACTGCACATCACGATAAACTCTGGAGCAAAGCCACGTGAATTTTGAACTTTCGAGCGGAACCAGTTGTCCAGTCATGACATGTAGTGAGCTGGGGGTGTTTCTTGCGCCAATACTTGGGCTCAATTTCCGAGCAAGTGGTTGCATCTTTGGTCACAGGAGGGGGCTTCCCAAAGAAGCCGACATTCCACACAATCCAGCACTGGGAAAACGAGATCAACGCACGTCTCAGCTGAATTGCAGCTCACAACCATCAGCACCACCATCGCATTCTGATTCGGGTTGAATCACACGAAGTAGGATTTAAGTCGTTTCTAAATGGTTGAATTTTACCTTGTTAAAGATCGCCCCAAGTTGTGGGTGCGGTGTAAACTTGCCTTGTTTACATTGGGACACAATGCTACCGCTCCACAGCATGGGAACACAATCGGGACAGAGGGAGAAAACATCTTGTGCGTTTTGTTTTATTTTGGCAAGGTGGTGGTGTTGTATCACTGCAACCTCTGGCTACCTCAGGGAAGACCTTTTCTCCAGGTACCTTGCCAGTAATATTGCTAAAGTCCTTATATCTTATGCAGAAGGTGATTGTGGCAAAAGTCTACGTTTCTGGTCTCCCTTATTCATTTTTGCCAAGTTGCATCCCATTCTGTATTTTTATTGAAGTACTGTCACTGACAAGAACACATTGGCAGCTGGACCATATTTACCCTGCTCACTTGAGTGCTGTTGGCTCAGAAGGAAGGATGATTTATGATGGTAAATGCCTCTGTAGGCAAGAGAACACAAGTGAGCTGGGCAAATTGGCAACCTTCACTACCTCCGTGGTGAGCTGGTCCCCAATGTTGTTCCGATCAGGGCGCTGAATCTGACTGTCTGCCCACACTTGCATGTCCAGCAATGCTGTTGTGACTCGCAAATCCAAAGAGAAAAGGTGCGCAACCATAACATTAACCTCAAATCTCAAAAACAACTGCCGGCCTGCAAGGTTACCTGGCGTCCCAAGTTGTTCAGACGCTGTCACAGGTGCTGACATCTCACTGTAGTGTGAACAAGTCAACTCCCATCACCAGTGGCCGCTGGGCACTATACAACTGTGTAGACTCTGGAGAAACTGCTGTATGTATAAACAGTCCAATGTAGCATCGAGAACCAAACCTGTCAACAATCTTAATCATCTAGTAAATGGTTTCTCCTCCCGCCCCCGTCTGATCACCTCTGGGGTTTCCCAATTCTCCATTCTTGGCCCCATTCTTTTTCTCATCTACATGCTCCCTCTCAGCAATGTCATCTGCAGACATGGGGTCAACTTCCACATGTATGCGGATGACGCCCAAATCTACTTATCCTCCTCCACCTGCAATTCCCAGTCCACTGACATCCTGTCAGCTTGTTTGACAGACATCAAGGCCTGGATGAGCGCAAATTTCCTGCAAGCGCTCCACAACTCTATCCTGGTTGAAGGGCGCTATATAAATGCAAGTTGTTGTTGTTGCTACTCATGTAAAGCAGAAGCATTTTATTTTTAACAGGGCAGAAGGGCAGATGGAAGAATACAATGTATTTGTGCCAGGCGTATATTTTAAGAAGCTTCCAGGTTTACCATCAACATTAGGTCCAGGTTAGCAGCAGTCAAGGCTTGGTGACCCCAGAATGTGGGTTAGGGTATTACTGGAGTCTAACCATCTGTACAGGATTCTGTATATAAAGTTATCTGAAGTCTGTAACTTCTCTTTAATGCCAGCACACTCAGCATTTATGCTTCAAGTGTGGTTAATTATGATGGCGCTGAGGTTGAATTCCAGTCCTGCTTTGTCTGGTTGAACACAGAAATGAGACAAGTAGTCTTTTCTTGCTATCTGACTCTTTCAGCAAAAAAGACCAATACAATTAATGGAGGAAACAAGTTAATTGCCTGCTTTATGCTGCGCTTTTGTGACCAAATCTGGACTCAGATCTCAAACAAAACTGCTGGAAAAGTGAAGCCTTTTTTTCCTTCTATTTACTTTTTTAGTGCATGTGCTTACAAACGTGTACGCACACAAATTGGATTACATGTCCATTTAGTTGTGCACATGAAATACTCCTGCACATGTAAATATATATTTTTTAATTACTGCTCACACGTGGTTCCATGTTACTCTGCTCCTTGCCTGGAGGCATTCACTCACGCTTGGCATATAGTTCCCTCGCTTAAGTAGCTATGCTTGATGTGTGAGCCCAGAAATCAAATGTTGGCAGCTTATTTGACTGTAGAAGGTATTACGAACCAAGCCCAGTCCTCAGCCAATGTCCATATGCTGCATATGGATGCTTTAATTGAAAGTGATTAGTGGCAGAAATCCTCCTGATTATTTTCTTCACCAACTCAATAACGCTAAGGTTATCTGTAGCATCCTTACTGTCACCCCAACAGAGATCTGACTCAGAACAGTCCACAGATTAAATCTGGGATGTTTCATGGCTGTATTGGCTACCACTTTGAGATCCTGCTGTTCTCTACCCCTGGCCAATCCCTCACTCTGCTAACTCGCACCTGCTTCAACTTCTCTGCCCTGCCATTGAAAGTTTTCAGCTACTTTGCTCCTGCTCTCTGTAACTTTCTCCCTAAACCTCTCTGCCTCACACTCACCCTCCCTGCTTGCAAAAACCCATCTAAAAACTTATTGCATCTTCAGGCACCTGCATCTTACGCCCTGCCCCATAGTTTACCCCGTCCCACCCTGCTTGGACTCCAATATTGTCTCTTTAAAGTCCTTTAAGACATTCTCCTATGTAAAAAGCAATATATATATTGTTACCTCAGGCAGTGATACTGCCAAATGAGCAATGCTGAGTGTCACGACTTGTTTAACTGAGAGAAGAGATGCTGCACAGGGGTGGGGGCTTCTGTGTATGGGAAGCAATAGGTGTTATGATATAATTCAAGAGGAGAGCAATCTGTCATCTGTTATGAGGAGGATTCGTTTGCAGTGGGTCGTTGCTGGCACATTAAAATGTCCTGCATCCAGAATAGCACCAGCTTGAGACCTACTCTTCAGGGGGCTCTGGATTAGATCAGAGCTAATTCAAAATGCACAATTCAGGCAATTTACAAAAACAAATGAAGGTCAGAATGCAGGGCATCTCAGGACAAATGTAATTTCTGTTTGCAATCGCAGATCAGGTTCAAAATGAAGCACTGCAGGCAGAGACAACAGTGAAATGGAGGTGAAAGGGGAGAAAAGGATTAAACTCTGCCAATTTGAACTATTTAAATGGGAAGAGATCCACTCAAACTGCTGCAGACAGAGCTGCAGCTAATCCAGCACATGGGAATAGGAAGCTTTTTACACCGCTTGTGATACTGTACTTTGCTTGTGATATTTCCACAAATGCTTTGGAGCCCCTATGTTTTAGGCGCTTAAACCATTAATTGGCTGCCGCGTTTAGCCCACAAAATATACAGTCAATTCACTTTACAGAATAATCTGTGAAACACTTTGAGACATCTTGAAGACGTGATAAGGCATTATGTCAAATGCAAGGATTATTATTAATTATCTTCCACAGCCATCAGATCGATTGGTTTGGGATTTGATTTGGGAAGCAAAATCTGAAAAATGAATTATCCTGCACTGTGCAAGACCACGTGAAGAGGAATATTTATCTATGAATCTCTCCTGCGAAAACAAAATACACAGGAGATCAGATAGTGGACAGATAAAAGGAACGATGAATGCAGATTACGTCCACATGTATTCTATATATATTTACATTACAAGAACTGGAATGCTGTTACCTTTCTGAATAGAAGTAGAATAGAAATACACTTTTCAAACCATACCCAAACCGAGATTAGCTCGAAAAGATTGTTGAATTCTATTCAGTTGAAATTTCTACTGATATTATGTCTGTGGACAAAATATCATAAGGGACCAAGTTTACACTCGCCTTAATGTTAGCTCTGCCTCACTCCTACAGTTCCAGATCTTAAGACGGATGCCAGTCAATTGCCTGGGATACGTAGCTGTGAAAACACTGCAATGGCATTGCTCTAATTTTGTTAGAATAATGAACATTGTTATTTTTATCTGAGGACATTTTTGAGCGTATCCAGATGGCTGAGCTGGATGTGACAAAACTGACTGTCTGTGCTAGATATAGAATAATAATAATAATCCTTGCATTTGATATAGCGCTTTTCACGTCTTCTCGACGTCTCAAAGCGCTTTACAGAATAGACTGTAAAGTGAATTGACTGTATATTTGTGGGCGAAACTCGGCAGCCAATTGCGTACAGCAATGTCCCACAAACAGTCGTAGATTGAAAATGACCAATTTATTATTGTTTTTGGTTTTGGAGGGATTATTATTAGGCATGTGGAGTAAGGAAACTTGCCCAAGGTTTCGCCCTGCCTGGAATTGAACCCAGATGTCTTGCTTACAAGGCGAGTGCTCTAACCACTGAGCTACAGGACTCCCAAGAAGCTTTCCCTGCTCTGGATACCTAAACATAAATACCAAATGATCTCTAAAATATAGACTACAAACATGTTAGAAAACAGAAG